CCCAAGCACTGGTCAATCCCAAAATGTAATCAATTAGATATGGGATACTCTCACGTGATAACGGAGGCTGATTGTTGTTATTTTAATACTTAAAAGTCAATCGTCTGTTAATGCAGTTGATGTTAAATGAGTCTTTTGAGTGTAACGTCAATGGGGTAAAAGTCAAACATCGTCATATTACGGCGATGCTTGAATATTCTGTATCTCCTGTGAGACCGATTAGGGTAAATCGAATTTCTGTTTATGTTGCAATAGACCACGGAAGCTAAACAAATTTAACAAAAAAGCATTAAATATATTGCATTACGACCAGAACTATGCATGCTTTGATTGTAGTTAATATGAGTTAATAGCTGGGAGAATTCTATGACAACGGGTTGTAGCACGGTCATTTGTCCATATAAGGGCATCGACCAATTACTTAATACTTAAACGGGAAACCAACATTATGTTTAGTCGTTGGATAACAAGAAATATTCTGTTAATATGATCAAATAAATGAAACTACATGTATATATCTGATCTCAAGTGACTTTTTTCGAACGATGTTTCGAATCGAGCTTCAATAAGTTTCATTATCATATTGATTAGACACATGTTGAAACATAGGATAAAACAATTCAAAAAATAGTTTTGCATACAGAAACGTTACAATTTTTGGCCATTTCAACGACTAACATCATCGAATGTTCGTGTGACGTCTATAAGTGTTACTATTAAACACGGTACACTACAACATGGGTGACGTGGAGGCACGGAAGTCTAGTGCTAAGATGCTGGGCTCGTGACCGAAGTGTTGCAGGTTCGAGTCACGTCACGGCACTGTGTTGTATCATTGAGCATACTTTACTCTGCTGTTAGAGTCTACTCAGCTGTAAATGAGTACGTGGTTGAGCAGTGCTAGAATTGTTGAATGCTAGCTGTGAGCGCCGAAATAGCAGCACCCGCTGTGTGCTTCCCATGGAGTTGAGAGAGTTATTGTCTGGTTGCAAAGGCCCTATAACCACGGATAATAATTTGTGAACCGCTTTGAGATGACCTACGAACTAGGTTGTGATAAAGCGGTAAATAAGTACCTCGAATTATTATTAGTATTATAACCTATATAATAATTACTTCAATGAAAGTATGCGTAGCTCTCACTATCACTTTCATTGGGTGTATCGCCATGTATTCGTTCTTTTGGTTACAGAAGTCCGCTATATATTTATTCAAATATAACAAATTACCTAAACGTTCAAGTAAATGCGACCACATGTGATAGTGTATGGTATATGGATCCATTTTCATGTTGAGGACATACGTTGAATATTTCTAAAGAAGCTTTGCCATATAATATAGTACACAATGACCATTGGAAGTGTAGCTAACACAGTCTGTAGAGAGTATAGCCACACAACGGTAGTCAACTCAGACCATAGAGGTTGCGGTCTACCTGGAACAACGAACTTGTAATCAACAAAGCGCTCAAAGATATTGGAGTCAACACGGACCATAGATATTGGAGTCAACACGGACCATACATATTCGAGTCAACACGGACCATATATATTTGAGTCAACACGGACCATAGATATTGGAGGCGACACGGACCATAGATATTGAAATCAACATAAGCAATATATGTATTAACCTCAATACACTGCAATACAATACATCAATTGAAAGTAACACAGGCTATAAAAGTGTACCAACCATAGATATTGTCGACATAGGCTACAAAGATTTAAGCGAGCACATATATAAATTTAAGTCAATACAAACCATACAATTGTGGTCATCAATTACAGTGTACATAGATGTTGGAGTCAACACAAATCGTAAAGACGGATTCACCACAGACCAAAGATACTAAAGTAAAAAGACAGGATATTTGAACGAGTAAACTGTTGACAAAACTGAAAACAGATATTGCACTAAAGATATACCACAGTCATTATAGTCTTTACAAGTCGCAGTCATGCTAGTCATCGCAGCCCATGTAATTTGTAGTCAAGATGGACAATAGAAATTGTAGTCAACACAGTCTTTAAATACAAAATCTATTAAAGTTCAAATGATCTGTATTTATACCAAGAAGTTGATGTTCTGAGAAAAACAGAAACCCTACCTTTACCATAACATATTCTGAAATGATATTATTATATAACATATTTGCTAACAGTAAACGTTTTGGTTTTTTTTAATATTCAAATACAATTTCCGGTTTGTTTGCACTGAACTGCTATGTCTGTCCCTGCTAAGGGGATATTTCTTTATATAGTTCGATCCTTGACATTTCACCGACTGTTATTTCCCGTCGTAACAGCCTGCGGCTAAATCTGTCAACTTGGAATTGATCAACAGGTAAATAGCAATCGTATTTCAGTTAATAAAAACTAGCATTGATTCGAGTGGGAGGCCCAATCTGAAAAAAACTATATTGTGAAAGTATCGTTATTACATATAAATATCAAACTGATAGTCGACATACGTACAGGGCAATAGGTATACTGTTAAACGCTCCCCGTTTTTATGTTTATCTCCAAGTGATAGTATCCCGCTAACTTTGGTATTTTAAGCATTATTTAGATGTTCTTCTTGTTACAATCCATTAAAATACTTGTGTAGAGCATATGAACACCATGATGCTATGAAGCAGCCTCGCGGTGTCTTGATAAAGAATACTCCAAATCGCAAAGAGTAGTCGTATTACAATGTATAACAGCGGTAGATATTTTGTTCATGTAGCACAAGACGTGTCTATTTCAAAAATAAGGGGTATCAGGTTTTACCTTTTCTCGATGTGTTATAACTAGGACTCTGATCATCAGAGAGACTATGGGATACGCGACAAAAAGGAATTGTAAGGTAGGAAAGAAAAAGGAAGGGGTCCCAAGAAAAACAACTGGATCAGCAGACTAATTTCAGTTTATTTAATGTCCCATGCAGGCGTCAAAACAGGAAATCAACGAGTTTTGCAAGGATTGCCTACATAGGTCGCATAACACAACCATATACAGTCGGATACATCAGGTCTGTTCTGTCCCCACACCTGCACGGGTACCCTCCAGAACGACATCCATTACGCGATGAATTCCGTTTTTTAATTAAGGAATAATCAAAGTGTGTGCGTCTACTGTGGTGGAACAACGAAGATGAGAAAATGTGCGAAAAAAGAAATTAAATTAACAAAAGCAGATTGCAAGTCTTCGAATCCCGAATTATCTATTCTACTCTAATGTCCAAAAATTTGATGGTTATACATGTATCTGTTCTACCAACTAAAAGGTATCGAAGGTCTTATTCGTGTCTACATCAGTGTCTTTGCGCCTTTGATAAGAAAGGTGACCTAGATTATTTAACTTTTACAATAAGGTTGTTCTTTTGCACGCGCTAACACTTGCCCCTTAATGCCTACATGTCTTCATTTCACAACAATCTGTGCCTTTGTATTATTTCTGACCCCGTGGACAGTTGTCCTATTTTGTCTGTTTAACCTGGATATTTGGGAAGGATCTTATTTAGTCGCCATTCGGTCAACAGAGACTCAACAATAACACACTGAGGACATGTATTATGCAAGATGCTTTTTTCAATCAATCAAATCCATAAATCTATCGACGTCGATCGTCAACATATGAAATCATCATTTGATAGATTAACAAACACTATTTCAAGTAACCTTCAATGGAACATTCTTACCATGAGCTTGACAGATAGATAATCAGATTAAATATGTATTTTGTATGTCCCCTATAAAATCTTCAAATACACACAATATAATATGCGGTTACCTTCCTTCGACAAATGCAACCAGCCTCGCAATTCGCTTGGGAGGTTTTTACAAGAGCGTTGGTCTGTTCGAAAATAATACACACACACACACATGGTCTGTCGTCCAATAATCCATTGGTTATTAACCAATGAAAAGTGTCGTTATAGTGCAAACGTGGTAGAATACGTAATAGAAATTCTGGCCATTTTTCATAATTTATTCATACTAATTTTAGGCATTAAGTATGGATATTTTTTTTTATTGTTATGAATATATAATGTCAACTTTACATAGACGGAATATACACAATATATGTCAACCCTAATGGCGGTAGTGTTTATTGAACATATCTATTTGTTTGTTACTGTACATACATGTAAGTATGAACCCTAAAGTTTTTGAAATCTTGAAGATTTTTGGTACTATATGGTAGTCCTTGAGAGAAATATTTGAGAATCTCCACCCTATGAACATTTAATTACTATTTTCGGACCATAAACAATAAATACACTTTAACTTAAACACTGGACCAGTTTTGATGCGTATGCAACTGCTTGTTTGTTTAACANTAACGAAGTAGGCGGAAGTCGTGATTCGTGTACAGAACTGTTTGTTGCTTGTGCTGTACAATACGTTCATTGCTGAAAGTCGGAAACACATCTATAGAGCTTCTGGTCCGCACTGATAACACATCCTTGTAGATATATCGATTGATCTGTATTCGATATGAAACAAATAATAAGTTGCTCCTAATCCGCGTTATAACACAGAAACGGTACCTGTTCATCAGTTCTCATGATAATCTATAGATTTTTATTATTCCTCACTTTCATTAGAGCAAAATCTTTCTAGTTCAACGTTTTGTCTTACCTGCCTACCACGTTCCAAGGTAAGGCATAATTATCTCGCGTGCTTTCATAAGATTGACTGGAACAGTAATTAGGACGTTCGATTCTTTTAATGCTAAACCAAAGCCGGCGATTCCATATCCTGGAGCTGGCTTTCTCTAGGACGCTGACTTCGTGAGGTTTTATTATCGTTGTTCAATCATATATTCTATTTAATCTGTGATTCCTGAAGAGCATCAACGGGATTTAAGCACATGTGTGGCCTAGTTCTTCCCCCTCACCCGGGAATTGTAGTGTAAATGGCATGCACCGCACAATTGACAAACTGCGAAGCGTGGCTACTCTGCCCATGAGCATGATAAAACAACTTCCTTCTGTCGAGTCGGGGCCATCTAAAGCTGGATATTACTACAAGGCTGGCGACAAAAGGAAAGTCAAAACTGGTTCTTTATAAATCCTTTCAGTGCCTTTCATTCCTAAGGGATCAGTCGTTAAGATTAGTAAGCCTTACACTACTGCCGTCATAGTAAAGTGAAGAGACCAGCAACAGAAGTACAAACTACGGTATTCCATCATACAACTAAAGCAAGCATACAAGGTAAGTTCAGGACTCTCGGGTCACGTGTACTTTTATCTCTTATAGTTCAAATAACTATAATGGGCACATCTTAGTTTCAAACACGTGTGTATGGTGCTTGACAATATTGTAAATTGTACAATACATGGGTATCAAAATGTATGTCATGACAATCTTTCAGATAACATAGACGGATTATACTGTTCATTGTGAAAGATACATGTGTACGATGGAGATAGATTGTAACGAAGTGATTCTCGAAATAACTCGTATATATCTCATATGGCATGTTGTGCTAATTACCATTTCTATTTAAATCAAACATCACAACACACTCTACTACTGTACGAAAGGTTGCAGTGTAAGCTCAACCAGACTATGTATGGTTAATGTATGGTTATCATTTGAGTTTATCAGACAATTTCTTATTAACTTGTTCAAAGCCAGTTTGCAACGGCAAAGTTTTATTCGCAAATTAAATTGGAATTTGTGATAGAAATGCGATATTAGCATTCAAACTAAATTAAATTATAATATGACAATGGAAATATTTTCAATAAACACATCCGGCGGAGCGGATTAATACTGACTGAACGGTATGAAATTAGACAATTTCATACGCTCAGGCAATGGTAATCTGGTCTATTTTATTCAAAAATAAAAAGACAATGTTTGAGTTAAATTAAAATATAGTCTGTATAAGCGTATACGCACGTAATGATTACGTCAAAAGTAAAGCACATATACAAACACTATTGGTAAAATGATATTATTTATGGTAACTAGATATTATTTATGGCAACTGAAGAAATGACCAAGATTTAAATGTGTAGAAGAAAAATAAATAAAAAATAAATGACTATTTATTGAGTAGCGACCGGAAAAAAACACGTAATCCCGCTATATGACGTCATCACTTTTGGATGTTTCAGGGTTTAACAATATAATCTGCAAAGGTCAATTGTAAAGGGAACAGCCCAAATTCAAAAATTGGGTATTGTCAAATATTAAAAGACAATGTACAGAGTAGATCTCCAATGACAGCATGAATCGCATGGAAAACCAAGTTTAAACATGTATATTTACATTTGCATGGCATTGTCACTATATAGCCTCTTTGAAAGCTGTGTCGTTGATGGGACTTTAATTACCATGCATCACGAGACACAATTCTTCGCGTATTAATGCAACACTGACCGGAACTAAAATATCCATTATGTTGTTTGCTTGCAAAGCTGTGTCATTCAAATAAATCATAAATACCATACAAAAACAGTCAATGCTTAAACATACGACGCAGGAACCGACACCAGTTTGTTGGCGCTCGGACTTTCGATATGTCTGATTAGAGCGTATTTCAGATAAATTACTTACCAACCTAACTTCGGTTGGATTCAGAATAGACATATATTATGCCAACACTTGGTAAACAGAAAAAAACGATAACGTTTTAGACTGATAAGAAAAGAGTTAAACGACCCCTTCACTATCGTATCTACGATCTTGTGTATGAAACAGAAAGTTAAGAGTGCAGCTTTCGCTAACACTGTTATAAATACACGGAACGTTGCTGTCCGCCTTTGATAAAGTCAGAATTCCATATGCATGAACGGTAATATGATTTCTCGGCGGAACCATCACGTAAAAGATAGCGTTGCTACGTCCTGAAATAAATATTTTCGAAAGAGCTTTTTTTTCAGTACAATATCTGTTAAGTTCGAGAATTTCCTGAGACAAACTTTGTTTTATAAAGATGTTTGCTGCAAATAAACTAAAAAGCTTTCAAAATTATCCTGTATCTAGGTCATATTAAAAGCAAGCTATAATTCCATAGGCAGAACATGAGACGTCTGCATTTGTGGTCATTAGTAGATTAAAATAACCGCTCTGGATAACATATATATATATACTCAAAGCATATGTATAACAAACTATTTTATTCAATATATCGGCAATTCGTAAACAAAATCTGAACTCAAAGTTGTTACATAAATCATACTACAACATGAACAAAAGAGACGCCGAAATTGAAGGCAAGACATCACATGAGCCGCAACAAAATTCCTGATACTTAATGAAGTGATAATAAAAGGGAAACATTTCCAACACAATGTGTGATAACCTACCATTGTGTCTCCTGTCAAATCTGGGAAAGTATGTACGTCATCATTGGGCTGAAATATCTTAAGCACATTTAAACATTTAAATGTCACAGGTCGAAGTCAGGCCAGGATTACAGATGTGAGCATCATTCTTTAGCGTAGATTTAACCTTTTCCTGTAGACAACTCTGGCTACGCAGTTACTCAGTCAACAGTACGCACCTCTCTGGAAAATCAAAACGCTTAAAAACTGCTCTAAGATAGCAAACCAATATCAATATGTGAAATCCTGATACTTGGAAACGGTTCTAGAGTTAGAATCAAAGTTGAAAAGTAAAACCCATTAGCAGAGTAAGGTCGTATGTTACTTCTTATGAAGGAAAGGAAAATTAGTGACCATGGACTAGAGGCGTCTTGTTATATACAGTTTAGTCCAACGTAATGTTACCATTATTGCCATAATGCATTGTCAAGATCATATTTTAAAGAGTACAAGTCTATGTTATCTTAAATTTTAAGTTCTGGGAGATAGATGACATGCAACAGAAAGTTCTCGAATCTCTAGGAATTCAATTAGGAAACGTTATCATTATACCTTGCTGTAACACAAAAAGGATCTAACAACTAATTAACTTATGTTCTTTAGTTGTAAACCCTTGTACAAATTTAGCTTCATAACAAAGAACTGCTAACATTGGTCTTAACTTTGTTATCCATATGCACTGTAGAATATTTCGGTTTCGTTCTCTAGAAAGTTCACTAAAAGTGCATTTCTGGCAATTTTCATGTGGAAGAGTTCTTGATTCCGAGCTGATACATTGTATATTTGGTAAAAGTAATCGTATTGGAACATTGTTAAGAATCGTTTCTTCCGCAGAATGCATATTGACAATATTAACTTTAAAATATTTTTTAATTGCAAGCACTTTATAGTGGACTTTTGTTCTACAGCAAATTGTAGAAAATCAATAGAAAACACACTGCATTCTACACTGTTGAATGCTAAAATCGCATTTAAAAAGTGATACTTTTAAATTTGCATGGACAAGCCGTCTGCTCACTTCCGTACTGCAATACTGTCTGTGTTTATTTCATTTGACCTACTGTAAATCAGCATACAACAAAAAGACCTTTGAAGACAAGTCTACGAATTTTGCGAATAAATAAAACACGTAACATGTCGCGAATAAGCGTCCAAATGAAGTTCACGCAAGGCCAAATGCACTTTCAGACTATACACTGAACAAATGTGATGTTTTTCGGTCACATGACTTCTGGAATCTGTGTAAAGGTACAGTAAAAGCTTACACACTGTATATTGTCCTTATGGACTATAAATGTTTCATTTTCTGTGGCAACATACACACTGTTTATCTGAATACATGTACAATTGAAGTCTACAAACTGCTATTAGACTTGCAATAGAAGCGGGAAAATGAACAAACGGAATTGGATTCGAAACTGGGACCCTCCAAACTCCAGACGGACGCTCTACCAATCGAGGTACATAAGGTGCATCTATGTACCTAGCCGCCTACGACCGACCCAGTCCAGTTTCACTATATTACTCCCTCCTTGCTTCAAGTCTTTGCCCCGAAGACATAACTAAATAGAACCCAGGTTCGGGTATCTACTGGGCAAACATTCGCCCAATACTTTTAAACAAGAGTTGGCAAGCTTGCCAATTTCTTCATAGTAGCAGGAAAAAGCACGGTCAAACCGGGTTTCGAACCTGGGACCAACTTAACTCTAGAGGGACGCTCTGCCAATTGAGCCACCTGTCGCCGACAATCGATCCAGTCCAGTTCCGCTAGACACAAATACCGCAATGTGATTTATTGACAGTGTTGGTGGAATATCATAACACAAGGTTGGCTGTAACCTTGTCGCCTGAATTTTTTTTTGACGGTTAACATGCGATGCTAGTTAAAAAAAACACCATATTATCTGTTTCAGACAAAAGATATGAATTTGTAACGTTAAAGATTGTGTTTTATGTACATTTATCCTTTTCATGTATTTCTACATTTTTGGAACACGTTACGGTCCCACGTGTCATGCACTGCCAAAAGCTGTAACTAAGTATTGAAACTGTTTTTATTCTGGGATGATTATAGCTTTGATAAATCATTTCTGAAAAGAAAATCATACATTACTTTCCGGAAATTTTATGATATCAAATAAAGTTGAATTATTTTCAACAACAGTATACAGTATTCTTAGTTTCAAAAAACACCGCAGCCCTAGAACCGTCTTCAATAGGCCTGTATGCTAGGTACATTTGTACTTGTCAGGGAGAGGATTACTTCGCTTGTGTGTTTCAGTAATGTTTGGTGACACCTTAACATATCAGTCATACATGATTTAGGTCAACACAGACATCAAGGACATAACTATATTGAAAGGAAGCAGATTCCAGATGAGTGTTTGTCTCGTCAATATCCTCAAAGCAGAGACTGAAGATTTAAGCCGTCACGATCATGCAATGGGTCCACCAACACAAACAGAACAGATCTGGTTAACGTTTGACATGAACAATGCAGCAGATAGATAATAGCTGTTTATGGAAACTTATAAATATATCATCTTTTTCCTGTCTCTTGCAGAAATATATAGACTTGATAGGCGTGTTCGGATAAACATCAATTTTGATTCTACCACTTTTTTTTCAAAAACAATCTTCCTGGTTATTTTTACTAAATCAAACAAATTTCTACTCAAGTAAATTGAAAATTCCAGAATTTCCTCTGAAATTATTTGGTTTCACAGTTTGATTTGGAGCTTGTAAATGCACTGATTCTATGAAATGATAAAAGGAAGAATTACTATTTCAGTGCTGCTTATTGGCAATATTTTTAACAGGGGCAACGTTCATTATTGACATGATAGTATAATTATATAAATATATGTTGTAATTTAA